CCAGGCTGGCCTCGAACTCACAGAGATCCGCCTGGCTCTGCCTCCCGAGTGCTGGGATTAAAGGCGTGCGCCACCAACGCCCGGCTGAGATGAGCTTTTCAATGGCTGCCGTTGGCCTTGATGGGGTGAGTTGATTAGAAGCCAGACGGGCTCGGGAAAGCCAGTTAGGAGGCAGTGGAGCTGTCCTGGGAACCAACTGCAGGTCTGCAGATCGATTAACTAGGGTGGGTAGGGGGGTTTTCAGGAGATAACTGATTTTAAGGACTTCAGGGTGCAGGGGGCTGGGGGTGGGGTGTCATCAGTGCCTAACACAACACAAGTGTCCAGATACAAAGTGGCCAATGCAGAGAGGCCTCTCTCCTCTTTGCCCTAAGCCTAAGCCTTGGCCCAGAGAGACTTGGTTCTGGCCTTTGACCTTTGACCTTGGTTCTGGCCTTCTTTCTCAGCTGCTCCTTCTTGCCATCTCTATCTTCCTGGGGCCAAGTCAGCCCCGGAACACCAAGGGCAAAAGGAAAGGGCAAGGAAGGCCTGGCCCCTTGGCCCCTGGGCCTCACCAGGTGCCACTGGACCTGGTATCGCGAGGAAAGCCCTACGCTCGAATGGAAGAGTATGAGAGGAACCTTGGAGAGATGGTGGCCCAGCTGAGGAACAGCTCCGAGCCAGCCAAGAGGAAATGCGAGGTCAACCTGCAGCTGTGGCTGTCCAACAAGAGAAGCCTGTCTCCTTGGGGATACAGGTAGGTGGGCTGGGCACGGCAGGCCCCCATTTCCCCTGTCCCAGACACTGTGTTCAAGACCTTGGATTCAGGTGAATTTGAATCCCACTTTCTGCATCTTACCACCTGTGAGGCTGTCAGTCAGTTGAATAGCTTTGCTGCGGCGCCTCAGTTTCCCCAGCTGGAAGCAATGGTGGTGTGTACTTCAGGTGGACATACACAGCACCATCTTTTTATCCTCCAGGTCTCAACTGGAGTGCTTCTAAAGTACTTTGTCCAGCACTGTGGTTCACACTCGATGGCCATGCTCACATCTCTTTCATGCCAGAGAGGCACCTACTTTTTTGTTTTTTGTTTTTAAATATGGAATGCTTACACAAATTTGCGTGTCATCCTTGTGCAGGGGCCATGCTAATCTTCTCTGTATCATTCCAATTTTAGCATATGTGCTGCCAAAGCGAGCATGAGAGGCGCCTTCTTAAAGCCCAGCTCAGAACTACCTCAGGGTTTCTGTGCTCACCCGGTCAGATTCCCGAGGATTGACGCCCTGATCATGGGTGTTGCACCTGCTTCTCTATACTTAGGGTGCATGGCCCCGCTTTGGCTTGGGAAATCACTTTGTTGCCCTGGGTTACAGAAGCAATGTCTGTATGTCCAGCTCCACCCCTAGGTCCGCAGGCAGAAGAGGTCCTAGGTACATGGACCAGATGGAATGAAGAAATGGCTAGCTCGCTCAAATTCAGCCCAGAGCTCTACCAGCTATGGTGCTTATATCCCCAAGACTCTAGAATAGCACTGTTGGCCAGGACTTCCTGTGACACAGCCCACTGTGGTAGCCAGGTGACTACTGAACCACTGGGATGAGACTGAAACACTGGTATAGATGGTAGGTTGGCACATGTAGCCAGTAGCTACTCTGTTGAGTGGTATGGCCCAAGAATGTGGCAATGGAGTCAGTCAGCATCCTGCAGACCGCCGCTTGCTCCTACGTGGTGGTGCCCATGTGTCAGTCAGGGAGATTGTAAAACTGTAGGCTCATTCAAAAGACTTCAAATTTATTTCCAAGGCACTCCCAAGCAGAGTGAGGTGACTGATAGCGTATGCTCCCAGGTCTAATTCTCTTACCTCTCATCCGTGTTTAACTGAGGAGGAAATTGAGACAGAGAAGAAAGGACCCAGAGCAGATAGTCTAGGTCTGGGACAACCCCAGAAGGCTCTCACCAATGAGTGTCTAAAGTCTAAGACAGATATGCTTTTAACATAATATGTGTCTAAAAATACAATCCCCAGAATTCATACAAGGGAAGGAGAGAACTGACTCCCACAAGTTGTACTCTAGCTCCTTGCAAAGTCTCCTCTGATCTCAAATAAATAAATTAATAGATAGATAATAGAATAAAAAAAAAAAACAAAAACAACTTGTTGAGCTGGGCATGGTGTCATTCCAGCACTGGGAAGGCTGGGACAAGAGAATCACAGGCAGGAGGTCATCCTGGGCTGCAAAACAAGACCTGGTCTCAAAAAGACCTGGTCTCAAAAATGAAAAACAAACAAACAAAAACCCCCAAACCCAAACAAAACAAGAAAAGAGAGAGAGAGAGAGAGAGAGAGAGAGAGAGAGAAAGAAAGAAAGAAAGAAAGAAAGAAAGAAAGAAAGAAAGAAAGAAAGAAAGAAAGAAAGAAAGAAAGACTGAATCAATCCAAACCAAACCACAACACCCCAAAGCTGGTTGAGTCTCTGAGGTTCAGTAAAACAATAGAACACAGGCCCAGGTCCTCTTCCAAGGCAGAGTCTACATCCATGTGTGTACATTTTATCCCTGTAGATATATAAAAATATATCCCCACAATATAAAAATAAGGTAGAGAAGGAAGAGAAGACGGAAGACTTGGGTTTTTCCATGGTCCCTGTGGTGTCTTACTGGGTGAAAAGAGGAAGCTGGTGACATAGGACCTGACCAGCAGTGACTAGCTTCCAGATCTGAGTCTCCTTTTTTGGGAAGGCCCAGTTCATTACAACACACCCTGGCCACTAGCTCTAGCCCTAACTCTAACTCCGCAGGAACCCCTGGGGATAGCATGAGCCCTTTGTTGTTCACGGTGGCATTCACCCTGCTCTCTCCTGCCCATCCG